GGGGGCGGGGGCAGAACAATTTTGAGTCCTTGGGCCAGGCAGATAGCTCAGGGCTATCGGAGCCTGCCTGGAAAGTGGAAGGTCCTGAGTTTGATCCTTGATACCAAACTTTGAATCCTCTAAATAACTGGAGGAAAGCTTTATCTCCACTCCCCCCCATCGTTAATTCATGACTGTGCATGCCAGGCAGGCACTGAGCTTCTGAGTTAAATCCCTGGCCCTATTTTTTTTTTTTCGTATTTTAGGGAAGGGTCTACAAGGTGTTCAAGTTCTCACTACTAGTTTGTTTTTGTCGGAACCCGGGATTGAACTCAGGTCTTTGCGCTTGCCAGGAAAGCACTTATTCTACTGAGCCATCTCCCTGCCCCCTATTTTTGAAATGTCTACTTTTTTTTTTTTTGCAGAACCGGGAACTGAACTCAGATCCTTGCGTTTGCCAGTCAAGCGCTTATCCTACTGAGCCATCTCCCCGGCCCCCGCCCCCTATTTTTGTTAATTAAAAAACATCTTTTTATTTGGTACAGGGTCTCGCTACACAGCTCGGACTCGTACGGATCCTCCTGTCTCAGCCCCTGAGCTCTGGGACTACAGGCGCGCCCTCACGCCCGGTTCTGGGTTCAGCATAGCATGAGGTCCTGGGATCGAGCTTGTCCTTGGGCTTGCCAAGCAGGTGCTTAGACCGCCAAGCTATCTCCTCAGCCCTCAATTATTGAAAATAATACGACTAAAAGTTTTACTGACCAAATATGCATTTAATGTGATCTCGACAATGACTGTTACCAGTTTTTGTGGTTCAGGATTGAACGCAGGATGCCGCACATGCCAGGCAAGCGCTGTATCACTGAGCCACATCCCAGGGTCCTCAAGTTGAATTCTGACTACATTAGCCAGGAATTATGAACCCCAAGGCGATGTGTACATACTTACAATGTAGGAAGACTTCCTGCAATTGCCACTCTTAAAGTATCTACAAAGCAAAAAAAAAAAAAAAAAAAAAAAAGTATCTACAAAGTGTCCTTTTTTTTGTACTCTTGCCTAGTAAATAGGAATTGAACCCAAGGCTTTCACATTGAGTTACGACCCATCCTTTTTTTCGTCAAATTGCCCAGGCTTGAATTTGCGCTCTTTCTGCCTCAGCCTCCTAGAGTGACAGGATTAGGCGGAAGTGCCACCACATCCGGCTCCACATCCCATCGTGAAAAATTCATATTTTATCAAGTTTGTAAACGCCAAGCAGGGCTCTGGCCAACGTCTGTCTTTACAACGCGGCCAGCGGAAGCCGGTTCGAGAGGCAGCTCCAGTCCGGGCTGATGACCCGGTCTCTTACGCCCCGCAGGCTAACCTCCGGCACCCTTCGCCAAGTGGAGCCGGGGTCGCCAGTTTGGCGCGCCAAAGGCCACAGAGAGCCCCACCACAGCCCCGAGCGCAGGCCTCGGAGCCCGAGGGCAGAGCCGCCCAAGTCAGTTGAGAAACCGATCTCGCGAGACAGCCGAGAAGGGGCGGGGCGTGAGGCGCGCGTGCACGCGCCCGCGAGCCGTTAGGGCGGAACCCCTCCCGGGCGGGGCGGGCAAAACCACGGCGGTTGGACGCCAGTTGGTGGAGCCCCCGCGGGAAACGGCTCAGCGCGAGGAGCGTGCGCGCTCCCGCCGCGGCGACGGTGGCGGCGAGCGGCGTCAGAGCCGCGGGGGGGCTGACGGCTTCTGGCGGGTGGCGGTGTTCGAAGCGAGAGCTAGCTTAGCCGGTGTCGCTTCTGTTCCTGGAACAGGACAGAGTGAGGACACGAGGGTCGCTTTCGGAGGCTGCCGTCTTCCACGTACACATCGTCGTGAGGAGCGCAGCCCGGACGCTCCCGCGACCCTGCCGGCTCCCCTTCCTCAGGCCTCGAGGCGGCAGCGGCGGCGGCCACCGAGACAGCAGCGCACCTCCCCCTGCCCCTTCCCCTTATCCCCCCCGCCCGAAAGGGCCGCTCTGCGCCCCACCCCCGCCCGTCGGCCCTCTACGCCGCCGCCATGTCGGCGCAGGCCCAGATGCGCGCGATGCTGGACCAGTTGATGGGCACCTCCCGGGACGGTAAGCCTCTGCCAGAGCCCTGGGGGTGGGGGAAGGGACGGGCCCGACGACGGAAGGGGTCTGAGAGCGCACCTGGGCGCGCGCGTGCGGTTGAGTAAGGGGCTCCCAGATTGGTAACACGCGGTCCCCGGCTCCCGTCCCATCCAATCGGGGCTTGGCAGGCGGGCTTGGGGGCGGTGACCGTGCGGATTGGCGGGAACTGCTGCCAATGGGGCGAGGCGGGGCCTGGGGGGCTGAAAGGAGAGTTTGTGCTTTTACTGTTGACTTGGCTGGGATGGGAGAGCCCACGTCTCGCGCGCGTAGTCGGGCGACCGGTTCTGTCGCCGATTTGGTGTCTGCGGGCCGTTAGCGCTTCCGCCCCCGATATAGTTCTTTAAACCGGAGCTTTGGGATCATCTCTCGCGGCGGTCCTCCAGAGTATTCAGAAAGAGCCCCCACCCTTCCCCTTCCTGGGTCTGGAGGAAATCTTTACTGCCAACCCCGTCCCGGAGATGCACCGTGAAGCCCCACGGATTCAACCATTTTTATGGAAAATCTGACCCAAACCATGGTTTCTTGAAGTGGGTGTGTTTGGCCCCATTTTGTGAGAAGAAAAATGTTATGGCCTGTTTTTCCGAGAGACCTCCATTTTGTTAGACAATTTAATAGAGGCTTTGTTCAGTAAATATTGACAAATCTTGCATGCGCCCCAAATAGAACCATTTTGGAAATTTGATGCCCAGTGAAGCAGAATTGAGGGAAACAAAGAGCTTTTTAGGCACTTAGGTTAGAATATGTATAGAAAGCCACGAAGTGTTGGATGGCCCTTTGTCATGAAGAGAATTTTTAAATAAAATTATGAAATGCTGTTCTTGTGATGATGGTAATTCCTGACGTATTCTTTCAAATTCAGTTTAAATCCATTCTAACGTGGAGGAAAGGTCTAGTACTTAAATAAAAATCCTTGTTTCTATATGTTGCTTGTTTGGGCAGTTAAGTTTCTTAGCCATTTAAATGCCTTTTTCTTGGCAAGTTATTTAAATTGTTTGGTTTAGAAAAGACACTTAAATTTAGGTTGTACCAGTAACTTTTACAATTAAGTGTTCTGCAGCAAAATATGTGAGGTTACAAGGACTGTATTTTATTGTAGAGTTTTAGCAGTGCATATATACAATGGCATTTCAGGGGTTTTAGGTTTTTTTAAAGGCCCTGTAGGGAGCATATAGACAAATAAGTGTAGATTGGCAATTCGAGCAGTTCATGGTTGTGTAGAGAGGAAGAAAAGGCTGAGAAGAAAATGAATTTTATTTGTGTAGTAAACTTTGAAAGTTAGCATTAATTAAAAATGTCTTCTGGGTATGGGGGTGCATGCCTGTAATCCCAGCACTGTGGGAGGTTGAGGCAGGAGGATAGCAACTTTAAACTCAGCCTGGGCAAGAATGTTTCCTGCCAAGCACTCCCCGCCACCAAAAAAAAAAAAAAAAAAAAAAAAGCCAGAGGCCCTAGGTTCCATCCCCAGTGGGATGGGGCTCAGTGGACAATTTTTTTCTTTTCTTTTCTTTTCTTTTCCTTTTTTTTGTAGCAGAGATCGAACTCAGGAACTTGCAGGGGCTTATATCCCTGGCTCCTAAAACTTTTTTTTAAATTTTATTTTATTTATTTATGTGTGTGGCCAGCTCAGCCCACCAGGGGGCCTGGCCAGCTGGCATGTGGTGCTGGGGGATTGAACTGCGGTCCCTGTGCTTTGCTAAACCTGTTCCAAGTAGGTGCTTCAGACCACTGAGCCATCTCACCAGCCCCTAAAACTGTTTAACTGTTAATCTTTTTTACATTTAGATAAGAATGGTTTGTAACTGCAGCATGTCTTTTTTTGGGGGGGTGGAACTGGGGGTTGAACTCAGGCCCGTGCACTTGCCAGGGAAGCACTTACTCTACTGAGCCATCTCCCCGGCCCCGGCATGTCTTAATATTGATTGTTTTACAACATGAAGAGAAGGTATTGGGAAGGGGCATCATCTAGAATCTTTTTATTTTTTATCTTCTTGAGACAGGGTCTCATTTATGCAGCTCAGGCTGGCCTTGAGCTGCCTTTGTAGCGCAGGCTGTCTTGAATGCACAGTGATCCTCCTGCCCCAGCTTCCTGAGTTCTGCGATTACAGATGTAGACCACCATACCCAGCTAATCCAAAATCTTAAGAGACTAATCCACCTTTTCCAATTTTGAGTTAGGGTCTTGCCATGTACTTCGGACCAGCCTTGAACTCATTGTGTAGTCCAGGCTGACCTGGAGCTCTTAGCAGTCCTTCTGTCTCAACCTCCCAAGGGCTAGGATTACAGACATGTGCCACCATGCCTTGTAATCTTTATAATAATTATAGAAATCATGATCTTTTTAATCCTTGATGGATAGTGTTTTTGATATTTTCTGCAGATTGGATTTCCTTTTTTGAGGGGGTGTCAACAGGTCTTGCTATGTAGCCCAGACTGGCTTTGAACTTGATGCTGTGGCCAGCTGGGTTTTCTCTTACTACTGGAAGGGTAATGAAGTTGAAGATAGCTATCACCTGATATATTTCCATACTGGTCAGCTAGTATTGCAAAGTTGAACTAATATTTATGTGTTTATATGTTTTGGTGTATGTATTTCCAGTAGAAAGCTGGATTTCTTAAGATCCCTTCTGGTTTGTATACAAGTAAATTTACATATTTTGTCTGTTACTGGATTTTTTTTTTTTTTTTTTTTTCTTGACAGACTTTGTAGTTCAGGCTGGCCCTGAATATCTGTGTAGTCCAGGTTGGCCTTGAACTCATGAAGATCCTCCTGCCTCAGTCCCCCAAGTGCTGGGATTATCTATGTGGGGTACCACACCTGCCTTCATGTTACTGGATTTTTTTTAGTCTCCAGTTGTAAGAGTTTTTATGAATAGATTCACATTTACCAGCCCACCATAGTACTGCTTTTAGGTGAAATGACTGGATTTTCGCTGCTGTGCTGGGTCAAAAGTAAGAAACATACCACTTTCAAGGAAAAGAATTTTTTTCGATGCCTAAATTAGTTCTTTTATTTATTTATTTATTTAGCAGAACCGGAGTTCTTTTATGACAGAAGAATCAGTGTAGTCTTTTCTTTATCACTAGATTTTTAATGAATTTATGTATTTGATTTTAAAATTGAGGATCTTTAACTTAGGATTATTCTTTTTAGCAGTCAACTTCAAGTTATCCAGGGATGGGGAGCTTGGACACATCACTGGATAACTCCATGTACTTTGAAACCATATAGTGGAAAGTGTTGTATTGGACGCAACAGCATATTGGGGGATGCTATTGGGTGTCTTTGGCTCTAAGAGGTGGAAATGGGGATCCAGGAGGTAGGAGAGAGATGGCAAAAAGGTAGGTAAGGAGGGGATTTCAGACAGCTTTGTTCCTTGTTTATTTTTAATCTGAGAGACTAAGTATAAAGCTGTTACTCTCTACTTTTGGGTAATGGAACCCAAGGTGGCAGTAACCCCCTCAACATATTTCGTGTCCTATCTGAAAGAATCTGAAGTGACTTATGAGTCCCAAGGCTCTGGGAACATGTTGCTCCTCTTTTCTGAAAGATTTCTCCCCTCCCTCCCAAGATTTTACTTAGTGCCTTTATAAAGTCCTTGGAGATGTTAAGTCTGTTGTATCTTATCTTCAGTTATTTAAAAGTTAACCATGTAGCTTATCTATGTTTCACTGGAATCCTCAGGAATAGGGATTTTGTTGGCAGGGAGAGGTAATTTGGGATCACTGGGCACAGCCAGAGAGACAGGATTTGGTGAATGGTGCAAGTGGGGGGTTTTGGCAGTTGAGGGTAGCATGATGGTGCTGGGAGGTTGGGCAGGGGTGCATTTAGGAGGTGGGAGAGGAATGCATAAGGGAGGTGGGAGGGCCAAAGACAAACTTTGCCTTCTTTGCAATTTTGCCTAGGGCCCTGGTGGTGGCAACCGCCTGTGTGCCACTGAAAATCGTGCCGATGCCTGGCATACTGCATAAATGGAAGCAGGGTACCGCGTGAGTTGAAACATTGGTCACACTATATAAAGTTTGTATATGTGAATCAGTGTAACTCATACCCATGTAACTAGGGGTCTGACTGTATTTGGATTTTTCTAATAAGGCATCATGGGCTAAGGAAAGAGCACTGGGCTGAGATTCAGGAGACCTGGTCTCTAATTGTAACCTTGGGTAAGTCACTTAACCTTTTTTGCCTTAAATCTGTAACTTGTTGTGGGAAACTAAATTTCCTGTTGTACTAAGAATGTCAAAAAGTAAAGTTTTTTTTTTTTTTTTTTTTTTTTTAAGGGAGGAACCATAAGTAGATGTTAACTAATAATTTATCATGAGTTTAAGGTTCGTTACGTTTTATAAATGCGTTTTGTTTTAGTTATTAGCACTAGTAAAACAAGATTCTTTTCCCTGAACATATTCCATTTGATAGTAGGGAGAAGAGAATGGAAAAATCAAGAGCCTTTGTTCAGACTGATCATTTTGACTGGTTTGGAGTAATTGCAAGGATGTCTTAGTGAAAGCCTTTTTGCCAGCATAGTTTGATTATAAGAAGCATCTGGTCTTGATCTCAGAAAGACCTGGGAAGGTTCTAGAGATTAGGAATGAAACAAAGTGGGATAGATAATATCCTAAACTTACAGATTAGGGTTCACATCTTTTAATTACTTTATATGGGAGCACAGATTATCTCTCTCTCTCTCTCTTTTTTTTTTGGTGGAACCGGGGATTGAACTCAGATCCTTGCGTTTGCCAGTCAAGCGCTTGTCCTACTGAGCCATCTCCCTGGCTCCCAGATTATCTCTTGAGGATGAAACAGCCAAGTGATGATAGTGTGTTCCCCAAACCTGTAAACTGAGGTAGGCTACAGGAGAGAATCTTACAGGCTCGTCAGTTGTCTGTGGTTAGGCACTAGTTTTGGCAAGTTAAAACTTTCAAGTGAATTTAGCTCTGTTTAACAGTAATATTACTAAAACATATGATATACTTCTGTGATTAATAGAGGCTATAAACAGTCCTGTTGATCAATTACATAGTGATAGTGTGTGCAATACAAAATTGAAACTATTCAAGAAATACCTAGGAATGGGGGCTGGGGAGATAGCTCAATAGAAAGGTCCTGAGTTCAATCCCCAGTTCTGCAAAACCAAAACAAAAAAAACCTAGGAAAATAATTTCAGAAAGTAATTTACCTGTTCCTAATAGAAGTTTAGTAATACCTGACTTTTACCACTGAAATTGTTGCATCAAAGACTGAAATACTGTCTCTCTTTCTTTCCCTCCCTCCCTTTCTTTCCTTTTACGTCTTCTTCATTCCTTCTCTCCCTCTTTCTCTCTTCCTCCCTCTCTCCCTCTCTCTCCTCTCTTTCCTCTCTTTCTCTCCCTCTCCGGATTGTACAAGTGGTTGTGTTTCCTTCAGTGGGTTTTGTTCTTTATGAGATCATCATTACTGTAGCCTGTGTTCCTTGACTTGTCATCAACATTAAATGAACTTTCTCTTAATTTTCTCTCATTAACATAACCTTATTTCTTTGTCAGCTATAAGCCATTCTTTATTCCACTTGGATCATTCATTTTAAGTGAAGGAGGTATAGCCATTAATGTAAAACACATTTTTGACAATAATGGGATATAGCTTAGTCTTTGTGAGTTCTTCCCCCCCCCAACCAGGGATTGAACTCAGTCCCTTGTGCTTGCCAGGGAAGCGCTTATTCCACTGAGCCATCTCTGCAGCCCCTCTTTGTGAGTTCTTTAACCTTGAGAAATTTTAGGGCCGGTGAGCTAGCTCAGGCAAGCACAGGGACTGGGTTTGATCCCCTAAACCACATGCTGTGCTGGCCTGTCCCCAGGCACACTGAGTTCTCCAGAGTCCAGGTGTGGTGGAGCACATCTCTGATCCCAGTGCTGGGGAGGCTGAAAATAGGAGGATCACTATGAGCCGTGTATTGAGACCCTGTAACAACTAAATACGTTAAAATTTTTTTAAAAAATGTAAGAAATTTTAGCTAGGTGTGGTGATACACACCTGTAATCTCAGCCCTCAGGAAGTTGAGGCAGGAGGATTGCAATGCATTTGAGGTCAGCCTGGGCTGCATAGTAACTTTGTCTCAGGAAAGAAAAATTTTGTAGAAATGAAGATTATTGACAGAGCCCTTGCCTTCCATGTGTGAGGCCCTTGGCTTAATACTCAGGATCAATAAAAACAGGAAAATTATTTTGCCTGTTTTTGCAGAAGCTCTATATGCAGCAAGTGGTACTTTGAAGATCTAGTTTAGCTAAGATGTTTAGTGAGTTGCATGTTCAAGACAAGAGTTCAGAGGCATGTAGCTCTCCTAAGTGGAGGTCAGGGTTATTGAATCAGTGTTCAGTAACAAGTGTTTCATGTAAGCCTAGAAGCTTGAGGTTGCTGAGGGTTCAGGCAAGGAGTGGACTAAGATAAGTAGATGGCTTAAAACTGAAGGCAAGTTAAGTGTGGGCAAAGCTAGATAAGTTGAGACAGATACTCCTTAGAAGTAGGATTTGAGCAAAGTTTTCAAGTACATTGAATTCTTACAGCTCACACGGCTTTTGAGGAAATTACACAGTTCTAATCAGTCTGCTAAGAAATTGTAGACTGAGATGATGAAGGAAAAAGTTGCAGTGTGTTGCTGGGAAAGTGGTGAGAGAGTAAAGGATAAGCTTCTGACAGCCTTGTGGCTTTTTAGCACTTACATACAAATAAAAGCATTGTCTACAGCATCATATTTTTAGCAGTAGCACAGTTTTATTAAAGTTAGGAATAGAAACAGACTCTGGAGAGTGAGTTTAGACCAAGGAAAAGCAGAAGTATAGTCTGCAGGGTTAGAGCAAGCCATTGCAGGACAGTATACAGTGGCCCATTTTTATTTTAACTGAGTAACTTAAAACTAGTTGAAGAAAATAAACATAGATCAGACTACTGAATAAATGTTGTGTTTTGCTATTTAACACGGGCTGGATAAAAGAGTTTATTTTGTAAAACACTCAAGATTGATCTAGGGGCTGGAGAGATGGCTCAGTGGTCTAAAGCACCTACTTGAAACAAGCTTGGCAAAGCACAGGGACCGCGGTTCGATCCCCAGCACCACATGCCAGCCAGACCCGCCCCCTGGTGGGCTGAGCTGGCCACACACACACCCAATAAATAAATGTAATAAATTAAAAAAAAAAAAAAGATTGATCTATATGTTCAAGTTTAGTTGTGAACTCTGTGCAACTGATGTTTGATCTATTGGACTCCAAAGTGAACAGAATTGGTTAATCAGCTGCCTTTGCTGAATCTATTTTCATGTGTTTAGAATATGATAAAGATCTCATGTTTCTTTTTGTTGTTGTTCTGTTTGTTTTTTTGAGACAGGGTCTTGCTGTATAGTTTGGAGTAGCCTTGAACTCTCTCTGTAGCCCTGAACTCACTATGTAGCCCAGTCTGCCCCAACTCATAGGGATTCTTCTGCTTCAGCCTCCTGAGTGCTGGGATTACAAGTGTGCTCCATGCCTGCCTGAAATCTTAGATTTCTGCAGACATCGATTAGCTCTTTCAGAATCATCCTTCCAAACCTTTGATTTTCTCATTAGTAGTCTATAGTGGGTAGTATATGTGGTATACAGTGCCTAGTTCTGTACTGTGTTCTCTGCCACTGTTAGGTTATACAATATACCCTTCTCAATTGCTTGATAGCATGTATTAGATAAGGGCCTGGTTCTGTGGCTACTTGATTTTTGTAAATAAAATTTTATTGGAACATGATCATGCTCACTAATATTTGTACTTCCATGGTTGTTTTACTTTGCACACAGCAGAGTTGAATAATTGTAGAGTTAGATGGCTAGCAAGCCTGAGATATTTCTTATCCTTTTTAAAAAAGAGCTTGTGGGGCTGGAGAGATGGCTCAGTGGTCTAAAGCACCTACTTAGAACAAGCTTAGCAAAGCATTAGGGACCGCGGTTCGATCCCCCAGCACCACATGCCAGCCCCGCCCCCTGGTGGGCTGAGCTGGCCACACACACCACACATACTCTCTCTCTGTCTCTCTCTCTGTCTCTCTCTGTCTCTCTCTCTCTCAAATAAATAAAAATTAAAAAAAAAAAAATAAAGAGCTTGTAATCGCTATTGTACTGAGGTTCTCAAACCGGCAACCTCTGTATCACCACTTAACTTAATTAGCAATGTAAATTATTAGGCCCACCTAGTGAATCAGAAGTTCTAGAGATGTGGCCAACAATCTGTGATTTAAGAAGTATTCTGCCAGCTGGGCCTGATGGCATATACCTGTCTGTAATCCCTGCACTCAGGAGGCAGGGAGGCAGGATGGCTGAGTTAGAGTCTGGCCTGAACTATATAGTGCAGTTGTTTCAAAAAAAAAAAAAAAAAGTGATCCTGGTGCATATTAAAATTTGAGAAATATTGTTCTAGAATAAATGTTTCCCATATGTTATTTTTACTAATACTGTTTTCTATTTCTTTGTATTTTTGTTAACTCACTTTCTGAAAATTATAAGTTAATGATTCTTTTTTTATTGAGAAATAAATATGAATGAGACAATTTCACAGCTGATTAATAGGACAGTTTTGATAATCAATACACTGTACTAAGTTAATGATTCTTGTCACTTAATGTTTTCTTTGTATTAGTTTGTGAGGTATATCATACATATTGCCACATAGAAACTTCTTTTGTGACATTATCATGGCAACTTTCTTTTGTTTTTTTTTAATGAACAGAATATATTTATTGAGAGAAAGAAAGCTCCTGTCCAAGAGAGGGACAGGAGGGGGGCATGGCAACTTTCTTACTGACAAGTATTTAAAATATCTTGTTGATAAGTCACATAACTCATTTTCTTTTGTGTAAATCCTATACTTTGGAAACACTGTTGTAGGTATTAGAAGAAAGTTGAGAAGAGAGTTGTTGAGCTGTATATATCCAAACTTCTAAGTAGAAATGACTAGCCAGAATACAGATTTATGAGACAAATTTAAGTGAGAT